CCCCAAAACCCCAAAACCCCAAAACCCCAAAACCCCATCAAATCAATTAATTAAAAAACGTTGAGTTTGAATATATTTATGAAATTAATTAATGACTGATACTTTTTATATTCAATTTTCAGTGTTCTTCATTTACATTTTGATACCTATGTCAACTAAGAGGCCTAAAGTGTTGAAATAGAATATAATTACCTAATCAAAGGGCAACAATCCATGCTCAAGACAATACTTATTAGCCATTTATGACCAAGGCTTCTGCTCTAGCAATGACTCGTAAAAAACTCTAGCTGCATCCCCCTACAAATTATTATACTATTAAGATCATTACTTCTTCAGGAGTTGGGTATTTCTAGCCAGGCAAGAACATAGACTCAGCTTGACTAATGTCATCGTCATCACCACCAGGAGTTCTTTTCTTTGTCTTTCGCTCTCTCCTCTTCTTCTGAGGAGTTTAACTTAAGGACTAACTAGACAACTACCCATCATGAATATTTGAGGCAGAGTTAGGTATATCTATTAAAGCTGAAAATCCGTCAGGGTCACTCTCACTTTGTATGTTTTTCTTATTTCTTCTTTTGGCATTCTTCTAATTTTAATTTCCATCTGATTAAGCTGCTGGTGAAGAGATTAAATTCTGCTAGGACTATTGCTAAAGCTGCTACATCATAGCCATTTATTGTTGCTGCTATAATTAACCATTTGAAGCAGTCTAATTTTGACTCTGAGATTATTTTCTTGATTTTGTCTTCTGATTAGGGACCAATTGCTATGATCCATCATTAGGATTATTTTTTTAACAACTTGAGTTTTAATTATCATCTATGGATGCACTCATATCAGCGTATGTCCTCTTCTTGCCCATTATATTTTTGTGACCTAAAATATTATTCTTGTTATGAGCTGCTTGATTTTATGCACAGTGAGTCAAATTCTAAGAATAAGAATCTTAATCTGAATATTGGTTACTGCTATCTTGAATACTTTGCTAAAGGCTGTTATAATTATTATATTAATCCAGAAGATCTGAGTTTTAATCTTGCCCAATCTTTTTGAAGCATGAACCCTGCTCCTATATTTGCCTAATTTATTTCTATCGTTCTCTTAACAAACTATCATTGCTAAGATTCGAGTTAGATTCTGATTGACATCACATTTTCTATAATTTAGTAAGTTCTTTGCCGTTGCATTTCGTCCTAAAATCAGAATCATCGTATATTATCTTATTGGATCTCATGAATTGATAAGAAATGCAATTAATTTAAATATTATTAATGAGATCCAAAGTATGTGAATACAATTATGCAGCAGTGTGGGGTTTTGGGGTTTTGGGG